CACTTCAAATTTGGCGCATGTGTTGAGACTTGCAAGATAAACAATAGCTTCAAATTTCATAAATATACCTCAAACGGTTCTTTAGGTATTGACGTCCAAAAATCTACACTACTACTATAAAGAAGTGGTTAATTTATACAGTAGCAACCGTTGGCACGCTATTTTCTCTGAAATGATTGATTGTATAATAATTATCGTCAAAGGCCGCTAAGGTGGCAGTGATAAGGCTTCTTCAACGAAAGCTCCTTAAGTCATTAATGAATGAAAACTATTTTAGAAGATTCTACAGTCGAACCCTCCTATCTCAATAGTACTAAAGTCGTGTTGCGAACTTTTAGCCAACTAACGAACTATTTGACGCTGACTATACCCACAATTTTGTTGCAACCGTCTACTATGCAACAAACGAATACAATCATAAAAATAACAATTTGCATCCTGCATTTGAGATACTACAGTAAAATACTACTGTAAATAATCATTATGTAAGTATTATTATTACTTTGACCTCTATGGACTAAGACATGGGCTACATGACAGCTGAGTAACCTATGAACCTAACGAGTGAATGTAAAAAGTTTAGGTAAAAAATAAAACATTTAAATATGGGGTTATCAAAACGATAGCTGTTTATGTGACCACAAAATAAGTTTTAGAGGTACTTGAACTTTTGTGGTTGCCGAAGTGGGAAATAAATAACCACATTTCTGAGAAAGCTCTGTTCATCGAAAGTTTTTTTGTAAGTGAAGTATTTACCCGCAACCACATAAATGCACTACAATAAAAGTTTAAAGTTATCTTAGATTCATTTGAATTTTATGATCGAAACGTGCGATTCATAATCTACACTAATTTATAAAGAGGAAAACTTTGTTTGTTTGTTTGTTTGTTTGTTTGTTTAGTTGTAATGGATAGGCTCAAAAACTACTGGACCGATTTTAAAAATTCTTTCACCATTCGAAAGCTACATAACTCACGAGTAACATAGGCTAAATTTTATTTTGGAAAAAATAGGGTCCCGTAAAATATTTAGGATTTTCATAAGACGTGCAAAAGCGCCATCTATCGTCATTGGTTAAAATCTTCTTGCGCCTGACAAAAAATTTTGAGGTACGTAAATATTCATGAAGGCAAAGCTGTCAAACGCCATCTATCGACAACATTAGTAAATTAGTAACAAAATATTACATGTACTATTAATAGCGCTGTTCGTAAATAATATTGAAAATTTAATAAATAAAGATATTTAATGTAATTGAACCATTCACTGTATGTACCTATTTGAATCATTCACTGTGTTTAAACGAGCAAATCAAAGTGTTAATTAGTGACTTTTTACAAACTTCCTTGCAAATTCTTACTATGTGCCGCCATCGTGTTATGAAGAGGGCTATGCTTGGTGAGGAGATCCGTAAACGAACCAAAGTCGCTGACATAGCCCGACGGATTAGCAAGCTGAAGTGGCAATAGGCAGGGCACATAGTACGCAGAACTGATGGCCGATGGGGCAGAATGGTTCTGGAATGGAGGCCGCGTACCGTAAAACGTAGCGTGAGACTTCCACCTACAAGGTGGACCGACGACATCGTAAAGGTAGCAGGGAAGCGCTGGACGCAGGCCGCTTCCAATCGATCAACATGGAAAGCATTGGGGGAGGCCTATGTTCAGCAGTGGACGTCCTATGGCTGAAATGGTGGTGGTGGTGGTGGTGGTACATATACTGAAAATGTATCATTAGAAATCAACTACGGGGGCTAAGGAGATAAAAGGAGGGTTGGAAGTGTATATTATGAAAGTCCTATTCTAGTGTTTAAAGTAAGAGAGTTGAAATTTAAAATGTATGCGCTATAGATGCTAAGAGCGGATTTTACGAAACTCCACCCCTAAAATAATGGAGTAAAACGAGGTCCACGCGTACGAAGTCGCGGGCGGCCGCTAGTGCTTTATAAAATAGAAACAAGTTAGTGTGTGTCAAATTAAAGTAAGAATGTTGAAGAAGACGATTATTTTATATTCTGCTTCTTATTGATAACGTCTGCTATGTATTATCTGATATTGCTATTAATAATAACTATATTTTGTTTTTAATAACTACTACTACTACTACTACAATAGCGATTGCGCGGTCAAATGCCTTCCTTGTTCTGCATAAAAACATAAACTAGTAATTTAATTAAGTAATATTACCTACTTGCTTAATATAAAGGAAAATCCCTTATAATTCTAGGTATAAAGCGCAGAAAAATACCTTAATAAAAATATTTAACAATATGAATATTTAACCAGAATGTGGCATTATTGAAAATATCAACATTGTTCAATGATTAATTACAATAATTACCTACGCAAATTAATTAAATTTCTGGGAAATCATTAATGGCCCTTTATTAATCATCCATTGTAGTTAAGTTTGAACTTAGACATTTGGCTTGTAACTACATAATCATAGTTACAACACCCGTAATCTTCTTGCCATGTGCATTAATACCTTGAGATCTGTATGAATGTCGAAAACATTAATAGTAGACTGACAAAGTATCTTTAAGTATAGGGCATGTTTCAAGTTGTGCGTGTGAGTAAGTGTAATTCTGTTGCAAGTATGAATTACTACGAGTAGTTATTTAAAAAAAGCATTTTATTGACAAGTACGTAATTAGACTCTATCAAGTACTATTAAAGGCTTCGGATTGTATGCAATACGTCAACACCAGTCAACTTCTTCGAGAAGTTGGTAGAGATAGATAATAGAGTTTATGATCTAGCCCCTATTTTCTATGTAGATGAGAATATTAGGTATTATTATTCTTTTTTTTTTGTTTAGAGTTAAGTTTGTGTTAGTTTTAAAAAAATCTGTTTACTGGGAACTATTAAAACGTACCTAGCTAATATTTTTATCTATTAATATCTAAAAGGAAAGGAAGGCGCGAAGCAGACCGCTACCAACCGGTCAATATGAAAATCATTGGGGGAGGCCTATGTTCATCAGTTGACGTCCTATGACTAAAATGATTGTTTTCTTTTTAAATTTACAACGAGGAAGCTCTTGACCTGCATCTCATCTGATGGTGAGTGACGATCAGGCCGAAGGTGGTGGAATCGATAGGAGAGTTACTCATAACTTATTTAGTTGCAAATACCATAGTTATCATCAGAGCTATTGTGTGTTTGCACTCTGTTTATTTATGTGTAGAGGCAAAATGGTTTATCTGGCTGCCATTGTGGTGAATCAGGTTGAAACTTGTGACTAGAATATAAGATTAATTAAAGCATTCCAAAACAATAGCCAGCTCAGTATAAACAATAGCACATGAGACGATACATTTTTGTTTCAAAGTCGACTCTATCACAGCTAAATAAGATGCCTCAGTTCTTAACTTGACGTGTCGGTACATTTTGGTGGTTACTCGTGCATAAAATAAACAAGACGTAATTACGATTAATAAAATTAATAATGTTTAACAGATAATCATTAATTTGTGAAATGTGTTATTAACAGCTTAATTTCTGTAATTTGTTAAACAGAATATTTATAATTGATGGGTATTATTTCTAATTAATTATGTATTTGTAACGTGAATAAGTAGGATTACTTAATTATTATTATTATTTTAACTAACGATCTCCGCCTCGTCGCCGATTTTAACCGCCTCTGTGGTCTAGTGGTAAGACCACCTGCTTCAGACGCAGAGGTCCCGGGTTCGATTCCCAGTGGGGGCAGATTTTTCTGTTCGGTTTGGTTGGTGGTAGGGCTTGTTCTAAGTCCGCCTGGCTAGCTACCACCATCTTACCTAAGTCTGTCACCATAACAACAATGTTAACAGCATTGTTGTGTTCCGGCAGTTAGAGGTAAGATAGCCAGTTCCTCCGTGGTTGAGGATTCCGGGTGAAGCTCGCTTCCACCTTCGGCCTGATCGTCACTTACCATCAGGTGAGATACAGGCCAAGAGCTTCCTCGTTGTGGATAAAAAAAAAAATCTCATTTTAATGATGTAATTGACTGTATTTAGTTGATTTTATATTATTTGATAAATACATTCGGGAAAATCGAATTCTCCGTATAATGTACCTTAACACTTTTTTAATTCATGGTACATAAAATGTTTGGATACGATTCAAATAAAAATATCAACTATTTCTTCTGCTACATTGAAAAATAAAAATAAAAGTGTCAAGTATTTTTTCATTGTTTTATCACATTAATTCTTCAGTACGGGGTTATTCGCAGGCAATGGGTATATAGTTAAGACATAATCTTACTACAATGATGGAGAGCAGTGCCAACCTTTTGATAATAGCATGTTTCGTATTCGATTTGGCAAAGACGCCTATATTTTTTTTTAATTACATTTCTCGCAAGGATTTTTTCTTGGCATTTGTCTGTTAAATTAATCTGCGACAATGTTATAAGGAGAAAAGTTTTTGTTTGTATTGAAAAGGTTCCGAAACTACTAGACGGATTAGAAAAATTCTTTCACCATTAGAATTCTACATTATTTTTGATGAACATAAGTAGATGGTACGAAGTTTGCCAGGTCAACTAGTATTAGATAATAATGACCCAGTAAAAGAATAAAAAAATACAATAATTATTCCAAACAACAATAATTATATTTCAATGCCAAAGAAGGTTCGGTACCAAAACTATTTTCCTCTTTCGGAACCTCCGGGTAAAGTATGCGTAAGTCAATAAGTGTGTTACGCTCTATAAATCGTATCGTGATGAAATAATATAGCATTTCAATGAATTTGCCACTCTAATTAATAAGTTTAATAAATTAACCTTGTATTTTCTTCAGTGCAATGTTGTACTTGCGTGCAAAGAGAGGTAATTAAACACAATGCAATTTATTACCGAACCATCTTTTTGCAATGATGTAATACTACTTTTGCACTATCGATTTGTGAAAACATTTTATAGAACGTAACCTACTTTGATGATTTTATTTGATAGTAATAAAAATACATATTTTACATTTATGTAAATCAAAAGATAGCCTTACCTTTTTAATTTGTTTTTCTCCAAAAAACTTCAGTTACATTCACTAAAACAACGCACTGTCTTTCTCTAAAACAAAACAAAACACGATAGATGTTAACTTTTCTATTTGACTGAACAAAAGAAAAACGATAAAATTTTAGTGTTCCAATGTTCGAAGTTCAAATTTTGGCGGTAAGCAACTTTTTTTTAAACCTACCGTTGCGTGCAGTGACGAAGGCAACGCAATGAGAACTGGCCAGTTGGTGTGGTCGACTACCATTCTCTTTCATCATTGCCACAGCGTCATAATATGAGACCGGTCTTTGCCATTACACCACATTAGTGATGAATAAATTGATAATAGAATTTATGCAAAATTAACACCTGCTTATAACCAGTGCGAAACCTTAACATAATAGTTAAGTTACTAAGGATAATTTAAGAAGAATTTAATTAAAGAAGAATATTAAATAAGTAGGGAATGAACGCATATTATTATTATCAAATAACCATTTCATTACCCAACAATATACATTTTAAATTAACTTTTCGTGCCTTTATTAATTGATTTCAGTACCAGGAAGTATATTTACTTTATTAATTAAAAATTTTCCATCTCTTTATTCCGAACGGAGCAAATGCAGCGGTAGGAAAAATGCTGCGTTCACCAATTGCTTTGTCGAGTGAGAAAATCCAATGGAAAATTGTTTGTTTTCAATGTTTATAAAGTACCTAACAAATTGCCTGTGTGTGTTAGCAATTTATTTTTTAACATTTATAGACCTTAATAAATCGAAAAATATTATTTTAAAGTAGGTATTACAACGTCAAAGTATTAGGAGTAGCGCTAGACTTAGGCCCGGTTTTCACCAAGGCGGAGCGGAGCGAAGAAGTATCGGGCCGTCAAATTTTTCTGTAGAATTTGACAGCGGCAGTGGAGAAGAGAAGTGGAAATAATGAAATCTGATTGGCTATTCAAAACCCTTCTCCGCTCTGCTCCGCTTCGCTCAGCCTTGGAAGTAACCGGGCCTAAGTCAGTCTCACATAATGGCAATTACAACAAAGAAGTCAATTATTCCGTTTGTCTTAAACAAATTGTGTACGTTTAAATCATTTCGCTTGGGCGTATCATTTCAAAGCGACAAAGAAAAACGTTAGGGCGAGGGTCGCGTCTGGGAAACGCTCCGTCATTAATTTTGTATTAGCAAAAAACGTTCCACAAATTATCCGGCGTGCGAAGCGCCCTCTCCCGTTTTCGCTTGATAAACTCCGCTTATAGCTTATTAGGGTACTATACTGATATATTTTTGCACAGATAATTGAGTTGAGCTCTTGTCTTTCAGGGTTAAGTAGGTACTTGTACTAAACGGTGTACACTTAAAAAAAAAAACATTTTTTTGGCCGAAAATCGCATCTTGCTACGAAGCTAACTGCCCATATCCTCAAAAATAAAGATAAGACTATACATGACTCAACTTTTTTAAATTACTTTATTTGACAGCATTAATTTAATTTTAAAAATACCTACTTCATAAAGAATAATTTTATTTTTGTATCTACTTATGCGTTAAATTATAAAACTCTTTTTTCTTCAGGTAAAACAAATCAAATAGGTACCTACAAATCAAATATCTAGCGTGTCATTTTGTGTTTCGATAACATCATTCACACAATGATCCCCAAGTTATATTCAATCAAATGTTATATTTTACTTGTGAAAACCCCGTATTTGTAATGTGCGCCGAAATGAAGCCTTTTACAAATGGACGGGAAAACACAAGCCTTTGTAAATATTGAATGGTTTTTATATTTATTTGGAAATCAAAGCAGGGCCCGGGCAAATGTCTGGCAAAAAATATAAGTTACAAAAACAGCTGAACTTCGACCATTGACGTATCGCTTATTCATGTTTGTACTGTATTAATTTCATGCCAAACGCCAATAAGTTAGTAAAAGTGTATCTAACAGCCTATGAAATGGACTGAAAACAGTGTTATTTATAATATTTTCTGAAGGTTTTTATTGTTGATATCAATGGAAATGACAAACACACAACACAACACAACTACACGTATCAAGAATATTGTACTTGTAGGTATTGAAAGGAATAACATTGAAGCAGGTTTCATAAACGTTACTTCCTACTCATAAATATTTAATACATAACCTCGTTTCAACAGCAACAAAAAAAAACTTTCTTCACCTAACACATTGTTTAGGACAGCTCTTACGAACTAAACTCACCTGTTCACTGTCTGCAAAGCCTAGGCTCTCTAAGGCTGGGTTGCACCATCTTACTTTAACTATAACAAACGTAAAAAAATCTGTCAAATTCCATACAAAAACACCGGTGATCGTTATAGCTACGGTTAAAGTTAGGTGGTGCAACTAAGCCTAAACATTGCGGTCCCCACAAAGCACTCTTATTACACACAAACCACACACAGTAATGGTAGTAATCCAAAATGTTGCACAAGACACTGTGATTATGTCTCCGGCGTAATTATATTTTATTTGAGTAAATACAATTTGCAATTAGACACAAAGAGAGGGTGCGAGATCAAATTAGTTATGTAAAGTAACTGCGTGACATTCTATACCGACGTCTCGGCAGCAGACTTCTTCGGCAAAAAACATTTTACTAAATTATCATTTTTTAAAACACAAATGTATAAAACATGCATAAAATGTAGGCAATCATTTCGTCACATATGAGTAACTAATGAAAACATGTATTCTGTTTGTCATCGTTACGTCGTTTCATTTCGTATTTTTATGCACACTTTTGGTGTTTACTACTTTTGGATTTATGAAAATAATGATGACAAATCAAGCGATCTCAGGATTGTTAGGTGTTTTACATTATGTAGAATACATTAGTATTCCTGTTATGTGGCAGTAACGATCATTTAAATTACGCATTTTGAATAATACATGATTACCTCGTATAAAATAAATATTGCTCATTGAATTAATTTTCATGTTGTTTGTGGAAGGGTCATGTATACAATAGGATATACCTAGATTCTTAAGAGCCAAGGCACACGATGCGGTGCGGTGTCGCACCGCAAAGATTTCACCGCGGGGTATAGCGCGGTATGGCGCCGCACCACTCGTGTGCCCGCCACAGATATTTCTAGGTAAAGCCGAGCCCAGACGGGTGTAACGTGTAATGTAATGGAAATATAATGGGCAGCAACTTACATTTAATGCTTGTATTGCCGTCCACACGTAGAATTCGAGTTACACTACATGTAATCTTACATTACACATTACACCAGTCTGGACCCGGCGTAAGACGAGAGACATCGCTTCGGTGTCGCATCGCCGCCGCAACGCATCGTGTATTTTGTCTCTAAAGCTGTCGCGTTTGATGCAAAGGGCGAAGGATTTTGGTGTTTATAGGGCTCTAAACCTGTTTGGCATAGACGTTAAACTTGCATGACCCGGGATTCCGCGCCACGGTTTAATACGCTCTACCTGAGTGCTATTTTTATTACTCGTTTATGTAAGAGTTACAGACTTTGATGTACTGAAAATAAAGGTACTCGTAATGAATAATAATTTATCAAAAGGTGTTAAATATGTTTTACAATTCGCACTTTCCTTTTCTATTCTAATAACAATGGAACCCAAACAAACCTTTAGATATTTACGTAGGTAAGTTTCATTCAAAACTTTTAGAAAATAAAAGGAAACTTTTTAAAATAAAATATTACATTTGAAGTTAAATTAAAATACTTTTAGTTTTCAGATCAGATATTTTACTATTGTGTAACTTCGAATACGCTTGTACAAAAATACAAAAATCCTGGTTTGTTGGGTACATTTAGGACAACCAGCTTTGCACGGATCTAGATAGTGTTTCACGCGTCACAGTCGAATATTTAGGACGGGAACAATACTATTCGTAAATCCTTTTTGACAGGGTTTTAGACTAACGGTTAATCTAACGTGAGCCTGTTGCTCTATCTGTAAAATGATTTAGAATATACATAACTAGGTAGAGACTTTAAGAACAAAATACCTACAAAACTGGTAACAATTTTGTCATAAAATACCAGTCCCGGTGTTGCCTTATTGTTTTTTAAATAGTTTGTCTAAATGCCTCATCTTAAGAATATTTTTTATTTGCGACCTTCATACTTTAGAGATGGGTGTAATCTCGAGTTAGTGCGCCTTAAACGTACTTGTCGGCGCCGGGCACAGATGCTGCAAATTATTATTGATGTTTAATAGTACCAATCTTAATATTATGTTACCTGTATAAATCTGTAGAGCGGAAGGTTTGTGATTCCTAAACGTAACACCTGCCTGATGCGCAAAAAAAGGTAACTGTCAATCAGTTATGTCATGTCAAGTGTGAGCAAGCGGCTACAGGTTATCTTTGAAAGCGTATTGAGTTTGGTGGAACGTTAAATTGTAGGGAAAGTGATTGTCAATCATCCAACATATTCACTTAACTCCTTGCCCGCTAACCCACGCCAATGGAGATTCCACCCCTAGAGTTCCTTCTGATAGAGACCCCGTGCCTTTATACTTATGAACGGTCCGCACTAGCTGCATAATAATATTAAGTACATATCCTAAATGATAGTAAAAGGTGTAATGATATTACAGCAAGTACCTATGTTTAGTCTGATGTGTCGTACTAACCCAATGGGTACCATAGGCTCACTAAGAGACTACCTACAAAACCTAATTAAAACATTCTCCTAATAATTCACCAGTCATATTTTTCTACTTACTTTTAATACGAAACCTTTTTAATTTGAATTATATTTTAAAAGCAAATTAAATGCTAATGATAAAAATCCATCAAGGAAAATTAAAAAGCTCTACTAATGAATTTCTCGGAGAAAACGAACATAATTAATTTAATGTTAAATCAATTAGGTGCCTTCTAATTGGCTTTCGTGAGTAACCTATTGCTATGCGGAACTTCTCGTTAACCTGCAGATTAGGCTCGTGTCAATGTCAATATTGATAATCATTAGTAGAAGGATTATCTTAATCCTACTAAGATCATAAAGGCAAAAGTCTGTATTGATGTTTGTTTCTCTTCCACGCGAAAAATTCTGAACGAATTTTGATGAAACTTTACATCATAATTGTATAAAGATCAGAATAAAAAAGCTATAATTTTTAACGATAAGTATTGACTTAACAAACCTGCTGGGGAAAGTCGGGTACCTAATCTTATGTCTGTAAAGAAATTTAACCCAAACTGCAGATCTAAAACGAAGATTGGACTATAT